CTCTTCTCTACGTTTTACATTTAAGCATTTTCGACAATTTGTGTTGCGTACATATTTAGCCAGAAATGTTTAGTCGATTAGACGTCAATCTAATATCGATACATTAATAAATAGTTAATGTCAAAAACTTTATTTGAGTCGCAAAAAATCCCTTTAGTATATGCCTTTTTATCTATATTTACAAACTTTGATCTAAACCAGAGCATGAACATTTTCGGAAAAACAGCCGATATGTCACAAATATCATTAACTACTTTGACTAATGGTCCTGTCACAATTATTCCAGAATATAGTTTTAACCCTTCGAGGCCGCACTAGGTGGCATGACCCAGACAGAAATTAAAACCTGATACTTTTAAGACAAGCTTTATAATCAGTGTCCCTCCATCTAGGATCCCTAGTTTAAGTTCTTCTCTCGAAAATCCGTACAGTAGAAAGGCTTTAAGCCATGTCAGTTATGTTTGATAAACATTTTAATTATTTATGGTTGGTGACCATCCAGGTGTGGCCTCGGTATATATTTCTTATCGCGACCAAAAATTACATTTTTGTTTATCGAGCACATTTCGGGTTCTGCACCATACATATTTTTGAACAACACCCTTAAGATGTTGCATGAATTTTTACGTGCACATTAATGAGAATTATGAGACTGAATTCGTCTGGGTGTCGACCACCCAGTGTAGCCGGAGTGTACTTAAAAAAGAGGTGTGGCCTCTGAGGGTTAATATCGACGATATTTTAGACTAAAAATTGTTACACTTTAGCTGCGCCACAAGAATTAAAGCTAAATATAAAAGAGCTATTTTTATCTCACAGTATATATGTGTCACGCTATCTAGCATAGATTGGTGAAATAATGCATGCCGCAAAATGTAATATGTTTACTCAATTGTGAATAGACTAGCAAAAAAATGACATCAAACAAGAATTATAATGCTTTGTGCGAGAGGCTTTATGTAATTATAATATTCTTTTCGTACATAGTGCTACCCGTCATAGTAATTGCGAATGAATTTCATCAAACGATATTAAGTAGCTTGTAAAACAATCGTTCTAATATAGCTTTTTATAATTATTTTAGTGACGCAACGGCTCTGGACGTGGAAATGGCATACGGCTTTATCGTGCGTTCTAGTTTTAATACTTCTGGGTATTATAGTGTTCATAATTGTATATTTCACTCATCATCCGGACGCACCGACTACACCACCCATACCACCCACACTAACCACAACGGTTTCTTGGGAAATTCCAGACTCATCTACCGAAGGTAATTGCCTATCTGGAAAATTTTTGTTTTGCAAGCGCGACACGACAAATGTTATCTTACCGCAACCTCAAACTTAAAATCTGTCTCCTACATTATATATTTGTATTCAATTATTCATTCGTCTACTTAAAAGCATGTTTTTTTTTATTTTCCACGAGTCATATAATATATTACTTTAAAACTTTTTGCATTCTCATATATGAGAGTAATATTCTAGATTTTAATGTTAAAATTGGCATATGCGTGTGATTGAGATTGCTAAATTCGATGTTAAATTAAAGAGCATTTAACTATAAATTTGTCCGCATGGTACAATTGAACTTTTTGTACGATATGTACGTTATTTTTATCACTTGCAGGTAGTAACGGGACAGAGAATCCGTTACGCATTGTCGAGAGGGACGAATGGAATGCACGTCCGCCACAACCCTTAAGAAAAATAAAGCTGCCAGTATCATATGTAATTATTTGTCACACTGCGTCAAATTTCTGTACCACGCAATCAAAGTGTGCAAACCAATTGAGAATTATGCAGGATTATCAGATGAAAAATAATTTTTCGGATATCGCCTATAATTTCCTCGTCGGAGGCGACGGCCTCGCGTATGTTGGCAGAAGCTGGAATTACAAGGGTGCCCATTCAAGCGATTATAACGGCATAAGTATCGGTATTGGGTTCATTGGTGATTTCACTTCGGTTGTACCGCCAAAAACGCAATTAAATGCCGCGCAAAAGCTAATAGAGTTCGGCGTCAAAGCCAAAAAAATTGCGTCTGATTATATACTGTTAGGTAATCGACAAGTTGTGAGCTCTGAGAGTCCTGGAGATGCCTTATATAATGAAATTAGAAATAATTGGAAAAATTGGTCACCCTGCCCACCTGACCCAAAAGATTCCTGCAGCTAGCTCGATTGCCAAGTCCGCGTTGACCGTAAACACGGCGTTACACCTGGTAAAGTTGTGAACTAAAAGGCGTGACGTTAAATAAAAAATGACGTTAAAAAACTGGATTAGTTTTGCGACGTACAACGTTATTTTTCGTTTCAACGCAGTGTTTTTGTATTTAAAATCATTGACGTATAATGTTAAAATATACCGAAGACTACTATTTTGTTATAATTTAATATGACAATCCATCCTCATCCTATTACTAATGTTCGAGCGTGGCAACTTTTCTTCATATACATGTGTTGCGCATGCGCGCACATAGATTATACACATTGTATATGGGACCTGCAGTTTAACGCCGATTCTGAACAGCTATATTTTTTAGAGAAGTTCTCTTGGCAAGACATACTCTCGGTGGTTTGCCATTGCCTTCCGAGAGGAGAACGAGCAAATATAATTTTTTTAGCTCTACCGGTGAAAATCGAACCCGGGACCTTTGGCTCAATAGACCAGTGCACTGTCTATCTGTAATAGTTTAAAAGATATATACGGTATATATCCGATATATAGGTATACGCAAAAAAAGATCTACATACTACTGATATAAGAGTAAAGTATCAGTTAAAATACAGAAAGCAAAATAATTCTTGTCTTAAAATGTTTCTTGATTAATGTGTTCTCGAAATGTGCACAATGAGATTTCATCCGTGTTCATCCCCTTTGGCCGACCCAAACGTGAGCACCCCATACGTACAAGAGTAAAGTAACAGTTAAAATATAGATACCAAATTGGTTTTATTCTTAAAATGTTCCTCAATTTATGTGCTTTCGAAATTGTCCACAATGATTTTAAAAGTATAAAAATTACATTAATTTTTTTCGTCAATGTAATTTTTTGATACAAATTTTTTTAATAAACATAATTATATGTGTAATATCTAAATATTCTAACCATATTCTTTTGTACATCATAAAATAAATATATCCTTCAAGTATTATTCGCGCAATTGTAAGTGTAAACTGCACTATTATTCGTGTAATATTGTCATGAAAAACAATACACAAGAGATTTTATATAAATACAAATTAAAGTTTACTAAAAAGTAACTATTTTTGAAAATTACATTTTGTTTCTATTATTAGAAAAAGAATGTTAAAAATTACATTAGACCGTCGTGAGACAGGTTAGTTTTACCCTACTGATGATTAGTCATTGCGATAGTAATCCTGCTCAGTACGAGAGGAACCGCAGGTTCGGACATTTGGTTCACGCACTCGGTCGAGCGGCTGGTGGCGATCCTAAGGCCAGCTCAGCGAGGACAGAAACCTCGCGTAGAGCAAAAGGGCAAAAGCTGGCTTGATCTCGATGTTCAGTACGCATAGAGACTGCGAAAGCACGGCCTATCGATCCTTTTGGCTTGAAGAGTTTTCAGCAAGAGGTGTCAGAAAAGTTACCACAGGGATAACTGGCTTTGTGGCGGCCAAGCGTTAGCGACGTCGCTTTTTGATCCTTCGATGTCGGCTCTTCCTATCATTGCGACGTAGTTAAACATATGTTTACTTATATGTATTTACATATTGTTCATATATACATACATATATACATACATATTGAATCTCAGTAAAAAATTATCCATAATATTTAGCAACTTTGCAATACTTACTCATAACTCATATTAAATAACTTTAAAAATATATACAAATATATACAAACAATATACAAACACATATATTTAATTTTATAAATATTAATATAATTATATTACTTAATTATATGTATACAAAATTATATTTTACTTGTATACCTCAATTCTTCCTATCTATTCCTGTACTTCTTCCATCTACTCTCTATCAAATATTTGATACTGATAACTATCCCATGTTTTGCTAGCAATTTTACATATAACAATAATTATGTAAAAAATATTAGTTTTAAAAAATTTTCTGAAGTCTTAAATTGTTTTATTAAACAATTTAATCAATACATTAACCAAAACAATTTCAACTAATTTAATTTTGTAAACTATTGTTTCTGTCTTTATAGTAAAATCAACATCAAATTAGGATTAATCTTACATATGTTGTATGCATAGGAATATTTAGATTAGAAAAAAATATAAAATAAAAATTACAAAATAAAATTATAAAATAATAATGTTTTAACATTTTCGTAAAAAAATTAATGTTATTTAAGTTTTTTCATAATTTTTTTTATAAAAAAAGGCTTCCCTCTATTGATTATACCTAAAAAATTAAAAATAGAAATAAAATTAACAAAATGGCGTCCAGAAAACAAAATTTTTTCCCAATATTTGCAACGTTATGGCACTCCCATTTCAACATTACTGAAATTTCGAAATTGTGGTTAAAGTATGTTTATAATGATGTTCTATACAACATTAAGAACTACATATTTGACAACATTAAGTACAAGTTCTAGAATATTGTTGCAATAACATTGTAATAATGATTTTTTAGTGACGTAGATTAGGTGTGAAACTGATGACCGCGTTGCCATCCACGTATCAGCACAGAAATCCGAGGCATTATCATTCAAATTAAATACGGGAATCCCTGTTGTACGAAAGAGAATATTGTGCACGCTATACCAGTTTCCGGTCTTAACTTTTCTATTTTTTGTTTTGTTTCTTGCGAGCGAAAACGAGAACGCTTAATTTCCACGATTCCACAGCCAATTTAAGGCGCGTCATTTTTCGATAGTCGCGTTGCCTTATCATTGAAGCCAGTATATATCTATCTGACTCATCGTCAGAGTGTCGTAAAATCAACGAAGATAAACGATAATGGTTTGATCGGAGTCCGCTCTTGTTCAGATTGCATCCTGTGTGCCTGCAAAACGGTGCATCCTCCAACTGCTGGTGGTATCAACGACGTGTCGAAAATTGTTAGGACAAAATCAAATGAAGCTTTTCATTCCGCGAAGCGCTTTTAACGATAATGGCTCCATGTGATTATAGATTGAGTGTAAATTTAGTGTTGGCAAAGTGATCGCCGCCAGCGCGAACGATGAATAGTGGAAGGAATTCTAGCAATAAGTATATGAATCAGTCAATCTTTAATTTAACGGATAATGCAGATTATTGCCGACCGGCTGCGCCGATTTGAAATAATGATCACGAGTGATGTTTCTCGATTGAGCTTATCTTTTATTTTACCTATAAGTTTTCGATTTAAACACAATGTATGCTAAAATATGTATTTTCATGATAAACTTCGTTTTTACAGTTGATGTTCTAATTTGTCAAAGCTAAGGCATGATGAATTGTTATACCTGCTGCGATCGGCGGATGTCAATAATTTTAACTGATCAAAAGTAACGCCATCGCTAATTAAAAATTTGTCACTGTGATGTAGATAAGCGAGATATGATTTATCAGTCAAATTGAACCCAGGTAGCAAACACAAGTCATTTTGACGTTAAATACTAGTCATGTTTGTACAAATGACGTCAAATGACCAAAAAACAACTATGTCTTTAAAAATGACATTATACTGACGTTATTCTACAACGTCATTATGACGTCTATTAATTTCATAAAAAAACAATTCTAGAAACCGGTATGTCGTACAATGACGTAAATGACGTCAATTGTCTGTGACATTAGACCGTCATTTTAACGTCATTATGCCGTCAGTTAGTGACGTCAGAAATGGTCAGTAAAGGACCAAAATTTGACGTCAAAATTACTTGTGTTTGCTACCTGGGAACGCAATTTATTTCGCAGTAAAATATTTTGAACGGCGAAGATATGATACTGCGACGTTCAGTTCATGCTAGTATAATTGATGTCCATAATTTGTTTACAAAGAAATGAATTCGTTGTAGATATTCTGCTTCTTATTAGAGATACTTATCGTTTTCTCTTCGCCGTTCTTTTATCATATACATACATTCTATTCGAAACATATACTATTTTGACCGGCGTGAATCTCCATAATCTGTAAAAACGGAGTTTAAATAATATATTATTAATACAGAGTTATACATAGAACAATAATTGTACTGGAACATTTCTGAATTGTTCGTGATGGTTTTTATTTATAAAATAACGTAAGATAAAAGATGCAAGATAAATGATACGATGCAAAAAAGAGCACAGTGGCGTACATTAACGGTATTTAGTGTGTTCGCTTTTGTAAGAATTCTTAATGACTTAAATGGTATGATTTTTAAATATTATATGAAGAATTTATCCACTAAATCAGCAATGCACATCCAATGTCTTTAATTTACGTATATGATTTGTATCAATTTACAATAATTAATAAATATCCGTATATAAGATGTAAAATACACAAGTGCGTTATACCATACCGTATGCAGCACGCATAACGTTGGAGCCTTGTTCAATTAATAAAGGAAATTTGAATAAGATTGCCATACCAGATAATATTTGCTTATTAAATTTTATTTTTAATCTAATATTTTATTTAAACTTCTTATCATTGCCGTTATCGCAGAAATTGTTCCTCGATTACTAATTTTGTTAATTCGCGCATTAAAGTTTTGTTAACATAATTTTTTTGATTAAAACTTTCTATTGTTGTATGAAACAAAGACTCAACAGGCACATCCGACAGCCGTCGATTAGAAACGAACTGTTACATTCTTCGTCGATTTTATTCAGCGATACTAAAATGACTGGTTTCACCAATTAGTCAATCTTAACCATGATTCAGTATATATCTCAGTTCTTTTGTAAATCTTACAAGAAGAACTCGAAAACGTATGGTAATTCTTTTTAACTAAATAAAATTTTAAATCTAAACGAAATTGCAGATCTGGCAAGTTTGTACGAATGCTTTAAATATATCAAACGACGATCTTTGGAAAAACCGTTTTTAAGATAATTGAAAAGCCGTAGTTTTTCGCAAACTGTTAACAATAAAAAAGAATCACGTTTCCAAACTGACTTTTCCCTTGTTAAGTATCTGAAATGAGAGGAAAAAGAGACAAAGAATGAAACCGAACATTTAGGCCGGTATTCATAGTCGGTTCTTATATCTCGAATTAACGTAGCGATCCGATAAATTTATCTAAAAACCCTACAGCTGTTTCTCGAGCGTATTCTGCTGCATGCGGTGTATCGCATTTTAAGACGTATCTGATGTAAAGAAGCTAGGTGAATTTTCAGCGTAGCGCATTCCTATACGTGACATTGGTGCAAGGGCAGCATCAAACGCTCGACGGTAATCACCATCAAGGTCAGAAGGAGCAGGACAACGTGAATTGTACTGTTGTGTCCGCCGAGAGTCACGCGGTCGACATCAGGTTTTCCGGCGAGACTGAGCGCTCGGCGATGGAAACCGCGTTCGTCGCTCTGGGCAATGGAGATTCCTCTACACAGTGCAGTGACGTAGATGACGACGACGACGAGGAAGAGGAGACGGATGTCAAAGAAGGCAGCTGGATCACAAATCTGCCGGTATCGCCGACCATCGTTCAGCGGCAACCAGCCTTCGCCACCACGAATGGCGATGTCGTCCTACCGAACTCTGATCAGCCGACTTTCGGCAATGTCCGAGTGCAGAAGTCGAGGAATGTGCGTCTGGTTAACCAGACCTGCTACAATAGTCCTGTTACTATAAAGCAGTTTGTTTACACAAATCTTACTCCGAATCAGGATGCGAGCCGCGCCTCCGACAATACCTCAGATTTGCCGACGCGTAAAAACAACGGAACTCCAAACGACGGATGCATCTTTCCACAAAATACTAAATTAAATAAAGGTAATAGTTAATCGTGCAACGCAATATATTGTTTAGGCCCGTTGCTTTTAATAGTTTTTCAATACTTGTTTCTTTTCGTATGTTTAAGCATAAAATAGCCGAGCGGATAACTAAAAGGAACAGATCTCTCATAAGTTTCAACAACAGTTTCATATAAACATTATAAAATCGCGACCATCAAAATTGAATTATAATATAAATATGCTAAGTATATTATAAATTGAATTTAATGTAGATACTTTTTATCGATATCATCGCAACAAGACATTACTCTAATATTCTTATAAAGAAAAATATACTTCGTCCTAAAAATTTTAAATACATTAGTAGAACGCAATAATTACTTGGTAAATTCAGACATCATAGAATCAAATTCTTTTCTCTACGTTTTACATTTAAACATTTCAACACTTTGTATTACGTACTTGTTCAGCCACAAATGATTAATCGATTTGACGTCAATCTAATGCCGATAAACTAATAAATAGTCGATGTCAAAAACTTTATTTGTGTCGCAAAAAATACCTTTTAGTATGTGCCTTTTTATTTAGAAGGAAATTATTTACAAACTTTGATCTAAATCAGAGCATGAACGTTTTCGGAAGAACAGCCGATATGTCACAAATATCATTAACTCCTTTGACTTATGGTCCTGTCACAACTATTCCAGAATATATAGTTTTAATATCGATGATATTTTAAATTGAAAATTGTTACACTTTAGTTGCGCCACAAGAATTAAAGTTAAATATAAAAGAGCTATTTTTATCTCACAGTATATATGTGTCACGCTATCTGACATAGATTGGCAAGATATTGCATGCCGCAAATTGTTTATTCAATTGTGACTAGAATAACGGAAAATTGATACCAACCAAGAATTATAATGCTTTACGTGAAAAACCTAATGTAATTATAACATTCCTTTCGTACACACGTGCATTCCGTCATAATAATTGTGTATGATGTTTATCAAAGGCTATTAATAAGTAACTCGTGAAACAAACGTTCTAATATATTTTATAATTATTCTAGTGACACAGTGGTTCTGGACGTGGAAACGTGCGGTTTTATCGTGCGTTATAACTTTAATACTTCTAGCTATTGTAGTGCCCATAACTGTACATTTCACTCATCAATCAGACGCATCGGTCCCCCTAGAAATTCCAACCTCATCGAACGAGGGTAATTGTCTATCTAAAAAATTTTTTGTCTTGCAAGCGCGACATGAAGCTAACGTTATGTTATCACGATTGTAAACTTAAAAATCTGTATTTTGCAATCTAATATTTGTATTTATTCCATTTATTCGTCTACTTACAAGCGCGCCTTTTTTAGAGTCATTTTTACCGTCGGTGCGACCAACAACAGGAACTACACGATCGCTACCGACTCCCGTACCAACACGTCCTTCTGGGACACCTTCTGGCACAAACACTGCTTGCAAAGCACCTCCGCAACCGCAAAACGGTCGCTGGAAATTACATCGATCGCAATGCTCAGATGGACAGGACTGTGACGTTCCAGAAGGAACAAAACTGGGATTAGGATCTCATCTCGTCTACTTTTGTGATTCGGGATATAAAATAAGAGGTTTGACCGACGTTAGCAGTATCGAGGGAAAATGGCTTAATATACCAGTTTGCACAGGTATTAAACTAGTAATTATATATTTTTAACTATTTTAAAATAAATAAATATGGATTCTTAAATATTGAATATTTCAGTCAAAGAAAAATTTATCATCTTCAAAACGATCAGAATTATATGTTAATTATTGACAATGTTTGTTTGATAGCAATACTCTGCAAAGCTTTAGCCGCATCATCAATCAGATCTGAATGTTTGTACAACGATGATTGGATATCATGCAAATCTCCAGTTCCACCAAAAACAAAAGCAACATTGTCATGTGAAAAGAGTTATCGACCCGAAACTAATCTACTGTCCGGACAAAAAACGAACGTGAGATGTAATGCGAATGGTGAATGGAAACCAGAACCTATGCGATGTGTTCCAGGTCCGCTCACGATAAATATTTACATTAATGATACTCAACTTGCGTTCCAAACCACTTTTGACAGAAAATGCTACATTTATTGAAGTGTTGGATGATAAAATCATACATACAAATGCTAATAATTTAAATTATCCGAACATAGATGTTAGAGTACCAAAGCCAAATAATGACACAGCAGCAGATGTGTCTTGGGCATGGTCTTAAGATTATAAAAAAATGATAGTACAATTGTAAGTAGTAAGTAGTAAAATTTCGAACAATATTTTTACAGGTGGCATGGTAATCACACATGTCAATATCCCCATTGAGATAATTTACATACCTGTGTCATTCCGTATTACAATTTCTATTTAAGTTATGATTTGCAATTGTTTCCTAAAGAACCAAAGCTTTAATGAAATTATTAAAATATAGTTTTTAATTACGCTGTGTATATAAATTTATAATTTATAATTTATTAAGTTAAGTGCACATACATACATATACACACATCGAATATATTTAATAAACTATTACGTGACCTCGATATATCTCAATTTTTTTTTCCATCCAATTAGTCATAAAATTATCACACAATGACGCGCAATGGTTACGGTTACTGTGAATTATCTCTTCTTCTTTTTTTTATAATCACG